AAAGACGAAAACTATTAACAACAAACCCTTTACCGACGGCAGACATCCTAGCCAGTAATAAAGAGAAATACCAAGAGGAATTAGCACGAAAACTAGTAGCAAATACCTTTGAGCACAAGAATATAGATGAACTAGCTGAGAAAATAACTAAAGACATACAAACAGTCACTAAGAAACTTTGTTGCAGAATAAGAAAACAAAAGGAAGCTAAACTAAAACCCGAAACTCTAGAACAGATAGAGAAAAGAAGAAGAACGAACAGAGATAACCCGGACTATAAAGCGCTCAACAGAAGCGTTAAGAAAAATATTCGAAAAGACCTCAGAGTTTATAGAACAAACCAGATTCTTGAAACCATAGAAAACAATAAGAACATGAAAGTACTAAAAACATGTAAATCCACTGGCAGGAATAAAATCATAAAGATAAAAGACGACCGTGGAACATTGTGCTCGCATAAGGAAGAGATCGTTAGAGAAATCCGAAAATTTTATGAGAAGCTGTATACTTCTACTATTCCGAACCCCGGTATACCAACAAAACATATCTTAAATGTGGGCTCAGAGGACTTCCCTGAAATAATAACATCAGAAATTAGAGCCGCCCTAAAACAAATGAAAAATGGGAAAACACCAGGAGAAGATAAAATTACTTCAGAGATGCTAAAAATGGGAGGCACTGCATTAGAAGAGGCAATAAGAGCATTACTTAATAAATGCCTATTGGAAGGACAAATACCGAAGACATGGAAAAATGCGGAAGTCATTCTACTCCATAAAAAAGGGGACGCCGCAAATATAGAAAACTACCGACCAATAAGCTTATTGTCACACCTTTACAAACTACTAACCCGAATAATAACAAATAGATTGACAGCTAAACTAGATGCATACCAACCAGTGGAGCAAGCAGGCTTTCGTAAGGGTTTTAGCACTATCGATCACTTGCAAACAATTCGGACCATTATTGAAAAAACAATAGAGTACAACATACCACTACATCTGGCATTTGTCGATTATCACAAAGCATTCGACAGTATCGAGAAATGGGCTTTCTTAACAGCATTGGACGACGCCAGAGTAGATTCAAGATATGCTGCCCTCCTTAAGAATATATACGATGATGCTACTTTTCACGTAAAAATAGATGATGATCTGGAAACTATGAAAATAGACCTTGGCAAAGGTGTGAGACAGGGCGACACCATCTCACCCAAGTTATTTACTTTGGCATTAGAAAATGTTTTCAAACAACTAAATTGGGCCGAAAATGGATTAAAAATAGATGGAGAATATCTTAACCATTTGCGTTTTGCAGACGACATAGTACTAATAAGCACAGATATCCATGAACTAAAATCAATGCTACAAGATTTAAATCACAAATCGAATCAAATAGGATTAAAAATGAATCTCGACAAAACAAAGATATTAAGCAACAGCCTAGAAAACATCACGATAGATAACATCAATATAGAAAAGGTAGAACAATATATATATCTAGGACATGCAATTAAAAACGAAAAGGAAAATCAAACCCTAGAAATTAAAAGAAGGACACAATTATCATGGGCTGCTTTTGGTAAGTTGAGCTTCATTTTAAAAGACAGAAAAATCCCAATTCACTTAAAACGAAAAACCTATGACACTTGTATACTACCAGTTGCAACTTATGGATTGGAAACTATGGCAATAACAAGAAAAATGGCAGAACAATTAAGAGTAACTCAACGGGCCATGGAGGGCCATGTTAAATATAAGCCTCAGAGACAAAATTCCTAACACCGAAATACGTCGAAGAACTAAAGTAACCGACATCATGGGAAAAATAGCGACATTGAGATGGCAATGGGTAGCACATGTAGCAAGACAAGACACCAACAGATGGTCTCATAAAGTGACATTCTGGAGACCTCGAGAAACAAAAAGAAGCGTGGGAAGACCTAAAAAGAGATGGATAGACGATATAACTGCTGTAGCTGGAAAGCAGTGGATGAGAATTGCAAAAGATAGGGAAGCGTGGAAGCAATCGGAGGAGGCCTATGTCCAACATTGGATAAATGAAGGCTGAAGAAGAAGAGTCTTCGGTGTAAATCGTAATAGGTGTTTTTAATGGTTAGATTTTCTCCATTGCAAAATTAGATCAACCTCTCTCCTCTTTTTCCTAGACCAAAATAACCCTCGACACCGTCAATTGCTTCTCCTCGTCTTACTTTTGCATTTAAGTTAAATGCTTCTTCCAGTTGCTCGAAGAATTCTTCAACCTCTCGTTCTGTTTTTTTCCGGTTTGGGAGCATATACTTGAACGATATTGATGTTAAATGGCTTACCCGCAACTTGCATCACGATTATACGTTCTGAGCACGTTATTACGTTAATTATTGATTTTTTTTATTAAGAATCCAACACTATACCTGTACTGCGGATCGTTATTTGTACATCCGGAATAGTAAAATGTGTTTTTTGTTGACAATCCATATATGTTAGCTGATATTTTAGAAGTGGCTATGCGCAGAATGACTGTAAGATGGGTGTCTGTTAAAGATGATCTGGTTTTGGATTTATTATGTTTTATGCGTGAAAAAAGTTTTGGTATTGGTTGGGGCTAATACTTTTTGTAAAATTCAATCAATCCGTTGAGAAGACAATCATTGTATGGCGGTTTTAGAAGAGAGTTGCTTTGTATTTCAATCAATTCTAACTGTAGATTTAGTCCGGTGTCAATTTCAAACTGTCCGGTGTCGATTTTAAAGACTGCTATGTTTGGCATTTGTTATTTGAAGTCTGTGAATCTCTGATCGCACTCATTCCTAATTCCAATGTTTCTTAATTTTTAAGATGAAGATAACTTCTTCCAATTAACCAACTGTTTCTCCAATAATATATGCTTCTTATTGAAAGCTTGAACACGTTCATAAAACTGCGAACATAGTTGATATTTTCCTTGCAGTTTTAGGATAAGATCAGAGAGATAGTTAGTTATATCAACCAGGAAAGCCAAATCAGCTAAACACTACTCGTCAGTTAAATAACTAATTAGTTGGCCTTTTATTTTCAAGAGAAATCTTTATTTCAGAGACAAAACCAATAAAATCGCATCAATGTAGTTGCTCTGCTGAGCCAGCGAACGCGACTGAATTACACAATTTCTTCGTGATCTGAACCTACATACATCTAACAGAAATGCTTAGAACTGTCTGTGATTCAGGCCTCTTGCGCTATAAAATTAATTGTCCGCACTACTTTATCCATCACAGGTTTCAGTTCGAGTACTTCTGCACACAACTGTTCTTGGTATATAATACTATAATGGATATTAAAGTCACAAAAGCATTTCCTCTTTACGTGGTATCTTTCATTGGACGCAAATTAAGTAATTACTCGATCACACTTCTCTCACTAAAAGTGACAACTGCGTATTATCGGATGTATCAGTAGTTTCGCCGAGAGCGAAACTATAGAAAACGCATTTCTTCAGTTTTGTTTTTAAAGACGATTCGATATTATTGGTCATATCATTAATTCTTCTGGCTATGGTTTGATGTGACAAGCTTGCATTTTTAACCAGTGTTTTCTGCTCTGGACATGCTACCAACGTAAATATTTCCAAGCATTTCTTGACAAATTCTCCGTCCGATAAAAGTTTGCTTCGCTTGGTAATGGCTTCTGCTATCTTGAATCTGATTTTTGTAAATGTCTCGGAGTTTTCTTTTGGTATTTTAAACATTGCTTGTTGACCGATCATATTTTTCTTCAATGGATTTACACGGTCGATTCGAATTTGTCGTTTGTATTCATCGCATTTAGAATCGGGTTTTGTAGAGCAATAACGCCTAATATTGCACTCCTTACGAACTGATATTTGGTAATGGCACATGAGACATAGTATATTTCCATTTTGTTCTATGGTAAAATAGGTTTCAGTCCAACTGTCTGTGTCAACTGTACGTTTTTGTGATGAGAACCTGCTCTGAAACAAACATAAAACATAATTAACCTTATCGCTCGTATTGGACACACACATGTACCCTACGAGCGTACAGGTACAATAAATTTACCAGCTTCAGTGGCGAACATATTGTTCGTGACCTCAATGTTCAACAAACACAATCGTAATTAAACACATATATTTTTAGTTGAAGAATTAAATTTCTTACCTTATTTCACCACTTGTACTGCAAGAAACTTCATTCGTTACATGTAACTTACAAATTAGTAAGTATCTAATCACGTGCAACACGATCACGGTCGAAAAAAATACAAAAATCTCATGTCATTGACAAGCTTCGCCGACCGACTGAGTATGTGATGCGTGATGCCGCATCGCCGAAACAGGAAGGAGTATATCTCACGTGCGCATACCTCGCCTGGCGCTATATCAATATTCAACTAGCGCCGAGGACAGGATGAAGGACTTATGCCGGTGACTTTGTGGCCCCGGGGCCGTATGTTGGATGGGGTTGGCCTATATGTTTAGTTTGAAAGTTCTGTTGCATTTTCTTTATCAAATAATTTTCTTTTTCGGGTTTACCGCACAGTTTATCCGTCGTGATTCCTCAAAAGTTGTTCTTCTTTCTTTAGTTCCCCTTTCTATGTTTCCCCATTCCATTTTTTGTGCGCTTCGTCTCTTGTTCTTGTGGGACGGTTTACATTTTTTATTGTGCCTTTTTCTGTTTTTGCATATGGTCTTTGTTGCTTTGTCTTTTATTACTTCCACTGTTATTTGTATTTTCCGTTTTTAGATTCTTACTACCTATCTCATAGTTCATAGCAGAACCAGTTTTTCAATGTCTGTCGTTCTTGAGAATTTGGCACATTCATGCCAAAATATACAACCTCAAGATGTTCGTCTTAGAAATTGTTTCACTACGTATAATCCATATTGCTTTATGTTCTAAGGTGTATAAACGATATTGGCAACATATATCAGTGTATCATATCGCCAATGTCCGGAAAATTAGAAAAGGGCAGGAAAACTGATAGCAAAAGAAATAAAAAAAGTAAAATGTAGCAGTTTAATAAAAAACATATCAATAAATACAAGACATTCTGGGACAAGAGTAAAATCATTTTAAGAAGGTATATCAGTATCAAAATATTGTACAATAATTTGTAAAAATGATAAATCAGTAATATAAAATGGTAGTCTAATTATAACAATAAACACTTTGTTAACGACAATAGTATAAAGAATGTGGTACACTATGTACTTACTTCAACTGTCTGATCCAAAAAGTCGGAAATAATTACAATTTATGACATTATTTACAAAATGTTTCTGATTGGTGTATAAACCTACTCAGAGCTGCTTTAAATCTGACTATAAATAATTCGAATTTTACAATGATGTCGCATATCATTTTGACCCCTCAAAATTACTTTCTTTAATTCTTTCTGAAACTTCTTAAAATTGGATAGATGTTATTTAAAGCTTCTTTGATGTCCTCTCTTGATTTTGCGCCAGTGAACACTACTTTACCATTAACAAAAATTAAAATCACCAGCCTGGGTTTAATCATTCTGTATACTAGTCCAGGGAAGAGCTCCGGTTCGTAACTACAAAATATTTAGTTTATTGGTTGATTGTTTATTATGTATTTTTAATAAAATTACATTACTACTACTCAGAGGTAATAAACACAAAACGATCCAAGGTATACCACGACTACACGTCCTGGTCGGAGTGTCCACGTCCAGAACAGGATATTATGTAAATTTGTTTTTAGTTGGAGCATGAATGTAGAATTGTTAGCTATTGTGTACTCTTATCGAAAATATGTTAGACACAAAAGAAGATATATAATAAGTACCGTTATTCAAACGGATGTAACGGACCAGGAGCTTGAAAACTTGCATAGAGTTTCACCAGACACAAACCGCTAAAAATAAATAAAAAACCGTGGATGAAAAATGAGATTTTAGATATGATAGAAGAGAGGCGAGAATTCAAAGACCAGGACAGGACATTATACAAAAGGATAGACAAAGAGATAAAAAAAGCAATAAAATTGTGAATTGTGAACAATGTGCAGCTACTGCAACATAAACACGATTCATTCAACATGTACAAAAAGGTTAAAGAAGCTGTAGGCTTATACAAGCTTATAAGGATTGGGTGTTTGGCAGACAATTTATTTATTATTGTGGAAGAGAGACTAGACAATTGGAAGAAATATGTGGAAGTAACTTTTACAGATGAAAGGCAAATACCATTGAAGGCACGGAATGCTGAACATGCCTGATTACCATCGAAAAAGACACGTCAGCTAATAGAAAAACTAAAAAAGGTAAACTTGTAGGTCCCGACAAATTTTGTACAGAATTCCTAAAACTTAAGCCGAAGATATACATCCCTGATACTAGCACAATGGCATACCAGTACCTAGCAAGCACAAGCTACTGTCCCAAACTGGTAAGTGTGTACGTTAACTGGCATGCTAATTCCTGGCATGCTGCCAAATCGCAAAGAATTTGATTTTTCTTGCTAGTAGCATGCTGTGAGATGCAAGGTGCATGTGTGGGGAGTGTCACTGGCATGTGTGAACGCGCGCTACCACAACGGGCATGACCAATCGTCAGATTTGTTGTGTTGGTGATAAAAATGAATCGTTTTATTTTTAAACTTGTTAATTTAAAAAATGTTTCGTTGTGGTGATGAAAAAACCATCAAATTTATTGCTATATATAAAGAGAGAATTGGAGTGTCTTTTGAATTCTTAATCATCTCTATATAAAAATAAAATAGCCCGTAACAATGCTTACACAAAAATTCAAGAGGAAATGGGTGAATGTATTACCATAAAGGAGATAAAGGCCAAAATAAAAAATTGCTCAAAGATTTTCTCGCCTATCAGCTCGCATTTGATAGAGTAATACATGATAACCTCACAACTATCTTGAAAGAAACGAGTTTAGATGATAGAAACTTGAGAATTATATATAATTTATGTTACAAGCCAACTGGCAGCATTAAGCGGATGACCAGTTGAAAAAAGCAATCTCCATAGATAGAGGAGTGAGACACGGATGCATTCTCTCTCTCCGATGGAATGTACTCTGAACATATCTTTAGTTTGCAAAAAATAATGTTACGCATATCAGATATCAACTGGATCTCAATACGAAAAAAACAAAGTATATGGTACTCAGTAAGCGTGAAATATTAAATATACGGCTTTTAATTAACCAACAACCAATTGGCAGACTAAACAGCTACACATACCTTGGTACCAATATAAACATCAAATGAGATCAGTCTACTGAAATAAAAAACGGAATTTGGTACTCCGAGAGCAACCGAGAAGAGTAAGCATAGCTTTCTTATCGACTACGCACGGAGCGATGGATCTATATTATGTTTTATTTCATTTTAATTTATTAATTTATTTTATTTTTTTTTTATTTTAATTAATTTTATTTTAAATAATTGATGGATTCGACCGTTACTTGATGGAAATTCATTTTATGTAACAATAAAACACTGAAAACTTTGTTTTCAAACTTCCACAAAATTTATTTTAAATCTTATCACTACAGCTGTTTCGGCTGATTGCCTTTCTCAAGTGATCTATTTTTGGCTTGGGTTTACAAATTTATAGTCTCTAATGAAATAGGTTGAGGAGGGGAGAACTGTTTGTCTCAAGTTGGTCATTCAGAATTATATCTGTGTTTTTTAATTTGTTGATTTCCATAGATTCTAACAAAGATAGCTTAAGGCCTTTATTTTGAATGTGAAGAATTTTAAATTTGTCATTAAAAGAATGATTATGATCTAGAAGGTGAAGTGCGTATGTCGAATCTGTTTTTCTATTCTTGAAAGCCCTTTTATGTTCTGCTATTCGTTTATCAAAGTTTCTACCAGTTTGACCGATGTAAGTTTTTGGGCAGTCGCCACATTGAAGTTTGTACACACCACTATTTAAGTGTTTTTTATTTTGGCTCTTGTTATTTTTAATATATTTGCCTAGGTTGTTATTTGTTCGGAAAGCTGGTGTTATTCCTTTCTTTTTTATGTGTTTGGCAATTTTTGTTGTTATTTGCCTGTATATGTAATCGAGCAGAAGGTACTGGTTTTTTCTCTGGTGGAAATACTAATTCAGGCTTTCTTGTGTATTTTGATTTAACATTTTATTAATTGTTTGTTCGTTGTATCCGTTGTTTACTGCTATTTGCTTAATTATATTTAATTCTGTCTCAAAGTTGTATTTTGACATCGGAATTTCTGTTAATCTATGTAACATACTATGATAAGCTGCCAGTTTATGTTGTGTTGGATGGGATGATGAATTGTGTATAGTCGTGTCAGTATGGGTAGGTTTATGAAATATGGAGAAGTCATGTTTGTTTTGAAGTCTGCTAATTTTTAAATCTAAAAAATTTATGGATTGATTTTGTTCTGTTTCTATTGTAAATTCAATATGACTATGAAGTGAATTAATATACGATAAAAATTGGTCGAGTTGCCTGTTAGTTCCTGTAAAACATACCAGTACGTCGTCTACGTATCTCCACCAATATAAAAACTGTTTGAATACGGGATGTTTTGAAATCTTTGTCTCTAGATGATCCATAAAAATATCTGATAGCAATGGGCTTAGAGGATTACCCATTATAAGTCCTGCTCGATTACCTTCTGCTCGATTACATATACAGGCAAAATAACAACAAAAATTGCCAAACACATAAAAAAGAAAGGAATAACACCAGCTTTCCGAACAAATAACAACCTAGGCAAATATATTAAAAATAACAAGAGCCAAAATAAAAAACACTTAAATAGTGGTGTGTACAAACTTCAATGTGGCGACTGCCCAAAAACTTACATCGGTCAAACTGGTAGAAACTTTGATAAACGAATAGCAGAACATAAAAGGGCTTTCAAGAATAGAAAAACAGATTCGACATACGCACTTCACCTTCTAGATCATAATCATTCTTTTAATGACAAATTTAAAATTCTTCACATTCAAAATAAAGGCCTTAAGCTATCTTTGTTAGAATCTATGGAAATCAACAAATTAAAAAACACAGATATAATTCTGAATGACCAACTTGAGACAAACAGTTCTCCCTCCTCAACCTATTTCATTAGAGACTATAAATTTGTAAACCCAAGCCAAAAATAGATCACTTGAGAAAGGCAATCAGCCGAAACAGCTGTAGTGATAAGATTTAAAATAAATTTTGTGGAAGTTTGAAAACAAAGTTTTCAGTGTTTTATTGTTACAATTTTATTTTAATTTAATTTATTTTATCTCTGTTTTAATTTATTTTATATCTATTTTAATTTATTTTATTTCACTTTAAGTCGTTTTTATTTTATCATACCTAACCACGATCTACTGCTCCATACGTAACCTGCGATAAGAAAGCTATGCTTCCAATAACGCATAGGGAAAACAAGCTCAGCGTTCAAAGATTTTTGCACATCCATTAACCTCAAATAAGGCATATTTTCGTTTTTGAATGCAAAAGTGTTTTCATTCAATTTACAACTAAAGCAAATAATCTATAACGTACTGCGCTGTGTTATATAATTGTTTTATCGGTTTGTTTATTTTTAATAAAAACCTTTATTGATCGCAACAATAACAAGTTTTTCAAAAGCAATAAATATTGGTTCGAAATATATGGTGATTTATATAGGTTTGCAACTTTCAACTTATAAAAGTTTTAAGGAAAATTTGGAACCTGATCGAATCTTTTAATAATTTTTCACAAAATACTGAACTGCAAAGAGTTTATTTTCAAACGAAAACGTAAAATTTAACGAGTAATCCATCGATCGAATAACTAGAATAAATTTTACACGAGATTTTTTTAATGAACGGCAAAACTCAGCGGGACTGATAAGAAGCGTAATGCTATATCTGCTTCTTCTTGAAGTACTGTAGCACTGTTGCCGATATTAAATTGGCTTTATGTCTGTCTCATTTAAAACAAGGGCGTTAAATAAAATTTTGATTAAGAATATACTAGCCTTAATTTGGGCATATAAATACACATATCAAAAATGTCTAAGGAACACCATTATTATTTCACTTTTTTCAATAAAAACTTAAGAATGTGTTTGTTAATACATACCATTCGATTTAAAAACTTGTTCTCTACAAACCAAGGTATGTCATGTGTAAATTAAGCTGTTAATTACATTGTTTTATTAAGGCAAAAGTGACAGTGCGTCAAATTTGTACGATCAATTGCTTTAAATTGTAAAGAAATACTGCTTCAAATTTTAAAGACAGTCTTTAGACACTTTACAATTTTACTTAAACAAGATTATTAAATTTTAGATAGTCATGGAGCGTCGGCATTTAACACAATCAAATGGTAAGTGCTGTGAATATGATTCATGCTAATCTTTGACAAGCTGATGTTGTACGTCATTTTGACGTGTCTCGGATTGCGATTGTGGCGTCGCTATGAACAATTTGGTAATGTCTATGACAAACATGGGGGTCGTCAACGTGAAACTACTTCTGGAAATGATCGGTATGTGGTAGGATTAGCTCGTCTAAATGTGCATATTACTGCACGTGAACTCTATGGGGATTTCGAAATACCCACAACATTACAAATTACCCACAACAGTATGTGACCAAACTTTGAAGCACAATTTACATGAAACTGACCTGCACGCCAGACGTCCATTGGTGGTTACCATGTTACGAATTGGAAATCGTGGACTCAGATATAGGTGGGCACAAGAACATGTGCAGTGGGGCTTATAAAAATGAGGTTGCGTGTTATTCACAGATAAAGCTAGGTTTTGTTTCTACCCTGATTAAGGAAAAGTAAAAGTTTGGAGAGGATCTGATCGACAAGAAAGACTCAGGTATGTACAGCGTGTTCGTCCACATAGGGGTCTATAAGTTATGATGTGGGCTGGAATTATTGTTCATCATCGAACTGTTCCCGTTTTTGTAGAAGGTACTTTGAATCAATCTCAATATATTGACCGTATCTTAGAACCTGTTGTCCTTCAATTTTTCACTGCTGGGGTCCTGATTTGCGGTACGCACAGGATAATGCACGGCCACATACTGCAGGAATAGTAAGCGATAGGTTTACATTACAGTTTTACAGTGACCAAGACAATCGCCAGATATTAATCCCATCGATCATGTATGGTATATTCTTCAAAGACAGATTGTTCCTCATCTGCACAATGTTTATACTAGACAAGTTCTTCAAAATTTTCCTAAACAGAAATGGATCCTATTGCTTCAAAACGAAATTCATAATTTAATTTTAAGCATTCCAAGGAGGTGTCAAGCTGTAATTAATGCTGCCGAAGAAAACACAAATTATTAAACACAATGTTTGTTAAGCATATCTGTGTTTCATAGACCTGACAAAGGTTTTCGATCGCATCCAAGTCGAAGATGTCTAACACCTACTGTATAAAAGAAACATACCAATCAATATTATACAAACCATTGAAAACATCTACTTCCATAATCGAATACAGGCAAAGATAAATGGAAAACTAACAGTGTATACCAGTACAAAGCGGAGTCAGACAGGGTGACTCGTTAAGCCTACTTTTCTTTAATATAATAATGGACGAAATAATACAAGCAGTACGTAAAAGTCATGGTTACAGAATGGGGAACAAAGAAATCCAAATATTCTGTTTGCAGACGACTTCGCATTACTCGTTGTGACTGAAGACGAAAATCGAAACTGATAAAATGAAAAATAATGAAGCAGGAAGCAAGGTTTAGATATTTGGAAATAGACATAGCTAGTTACCGAGATGTTGAAGAAGAAGTACGACAACAAAGCTTAAAAGCAAGTAAAGCGGCGGGATCTCTTAATGACACAATTTGGAAGAACAAACACCTAAGACAAGACACAAAAACAAGAATCTATAAAGCAGCAATTAGACCTATATTAACATACATGGCGGAGACAAGACCTGACACATCTAAAACGAGACGACTGCTAGAAACAACAGAGATGAAAATACTTCGACGAATATCAGGGAAAAGTCTGTTGGATAGGGAGAGAAGCGAAAACATAAGAAGAGCATGCAATATAGAAGAAATAAATGGATCGGTGACAAAACGGAAACAGGAGTGGAACGAACACATCAGTAGAATGGCAGAGGATAGAATAGTACGAATAGCACAAGATAAGTCATCAAATGGACGAAGAAGTATTGGAAGACCAAGAAAAAGATGGTGCGATAATTTAAACAATTTAGGAGGCTAATATTGAAGAAGAAACAGGCTTTAAAGCCTACATACAAGAAGGAAGAGGAGGAAGAACCTTTTGTTAGATTTTTATGTTTTATATTGACTTTTATGTTAAAAATTTCTATTAAATGAGTGGTTCTTAACGTTTCTGTGATTGTTTCATCATAAAGATTTCATAGTACACTAAAATTGAGCTTATTTTATTGCTGACTAATCAGGCATTATAACGGTATGTTATTTTTTAAAATCCAATCAAAATATATGTATATAAGGGAAACAAACTTTGTGTTCTTTAGAATTTTTGATGTGTTTATATTATAACTTTTATAATTACCTGCTAAACTGTCCATGCATCATATTTAAATTTTCCAGTTTAATAGGAAACCTCAGGTCACAGGTAGCTACTAAATTTTGTATTTTGAAATTACAAAATTTTATCTAAAACAATATATTAAACGTTTAGTATCAAAAAATTGCTATAGTTTACGCAGATCAAGTTCCCTGGCTCAATAGATTTTGAAGCTACAAATTATCTACAAACGCCAGTATTATGAAATGGGAAGAAGTAAGGACAGAACTAGAATTGGAAGCAAAGTTACGAGGTAAACAAAATGTTTTTTTTTAATTGTCCTAAATTCTAGGATTTTCAACTGCTGTTAATACATTAATTTCATTTTAATTTTCTAAATTTCTTGGTACCTCAGCAATATTGTTTGTACAGGTACAATTAGAAATCACGGTCCCAGTATTTTCAAAATTTTGTAAAATCCTTTGAATTGCCTGAATAAAATATTTTTATTATTGCTACTTTCTCCTAAACTGAGTACAGTTGTATCAACATATTTTTTAAACAATAAATCACAAAATAAAAATTTTGGCAATTCCAATATTGTCAAATATCAGAAACATCAATATGACGAAACGCAACATGTAATACACATTCTTGCACCGCGTGTGGCCAGAGTCTAAGGGGTGGCCTGAAAAATATATTCTTGCAAAATTTTGGAATACGTTTAATTCGTAGAACAATTCTAACATTTGTTTTCGATACATATTTCAGTTCTCTACAAATAGTTTTTCTTGACTTTTGGTGAAAAATAATTAGGGAAGCAGACATTCAACAAATTAGAATTTCCCATTGAGTTTCCTATGGCTCGTTTGACAATTCACCAACACATATATATATATATATATATATATATATATATATATATATATATATATATATATATATATATATATTGTTATGATGTTTTGTTTGTGTATGTAATTTTATGAGCTATGAGTATTTTTAAATAACATATATATATAGGGTTTTTATCGCGGTCCTCAAAGAATTAGTTTGTAAGCACTTTTTGAAATTATCTTTATTATAATTATTATGAAACACACATACACTAATATAGACAATATAAATTTAAAACAAACTATCTTTAAATTGAAATTCTTATTACAATAATTAAATTATATTAACAAAATTTGGTACCTTTCTGTCACTGAATGCCTAAATAAAACTGTTTTCCAAAATAAAGATTTTAATCACCACTCAATGTCTTCGTTATCAGCCTCGGTTATCCTTCTTTTTGTGAAATTGCTTCACCAAATACACCACAATGTTTTAATTATCAGCTTCACATTAATCCATGGTTATGAAAATATTCTTCTTTCTTTATTGCTTTCTTGTTTATTCTTATTTATAATAATTTTTTTCTTCCAATCTCCAATCACTATATAAGTATTATAGTTTTTAATTTCTTCTAATCTCCAATCACCATATAGATAATATAATTTTTAATCTCTTCGAATCTCCATATAAATAATATAATTTTTAATCTCCAACTAATATTCTCTTAACACTATTTTTTAATCTTCATCTAATATACTTTCCAATACTATAAAACTTTAATACTAAATCACTGATTACTGACTATCTTGAATACTGCATTACTGACTTTAATATTCTAATACTGACCACTGCATACTATATACTGACTTACTGCATACTATACTGTCTTTTTTCCTCCAAATCACAGAGTATTTATATCATTTCAATGTTCCCGAATATTCTTGAAAGAAAATATATTCGAATCCTTCTATTTCATAGACACTCAATGTTCGCGAATATTCTACTACGAAAATAGGTTAAATTCTTTCTATTGACGTCTTATTTTAAAGTCTAGATAATTCTTTACTTTTCTATCGAGAATTTTATAGAAATTTAGGCTTTTCAGATCAGAATGTAAACTTATATATAAATTAAACATCTTAAATTAATAAATAACACTATTTTAAATCCATAATTATTCACAAAAGTTCCCACAACCAAATTTACTTCAGTGTATATTTGGTTGCCTATATAGATGGCGCACTCAAATATATTTATAATATCATAATTATTAAAATAACCAAATACATTGCAAAATAAAAACTTTTTAAACTTATTATTATGCTAATTTCTTAAGAATACCCTCATATAAATACTTTTTATAATATTCTCTAGTATATAACTTATAAATTATTTCTTTAATCACTATTTAAGCTCATTCTAGATTACCTTCGTTTCTCCTATATTTCATATTATCTCAATATATATATATATATATATATATATTATATATATATATATATATATATATATATATATATATATATATATATATATGTAAATACTTTTTTCTTTTTGGGTGTGGTAGTCAATAAAAAATAGAGCTTTGCTAAGGCGTACTATTTATTCTGAATTCCGAGCTTTCGGTGGTTATTTGCCACCTTTATCAAGGTCTACAATGAAAATTACTGTGTTATAACATTAGGCTGATGTAATATAAAAGTTATAAAAACTTACCAGAAAGTAAGATTCATAGCATATAAAACACAACGTTAAATAACATAATGTGATCTGAATTATTGAAGGCATTAAAAATTTTAAAAACTTTAAAATACTTAAAAATTAAAGAACATGTTACAAAGTTTAAAAAGTAAAAAATAAGACGACATGTTTGACAAAAAACAGTCGTCTTCGCAGGTTTGAATTCAGTCACATCTCACGAACAGAAAGAGGTAGTAGGAGGAACTATTGTTGTTTAAATAGTTCGATGTAACTACAAAAAACAAACTTTCAAACTGATGTCTAACAAAATGCCGTTTGTGATTTTAGGTACTACCAACCATGTTACCAACTTAGAATTGAGAGGGAAATTTAAAAAAAGGTTTTATTATGTCAAAAAATAAAAAGAAAATAGTATTTAGTAAATAGGTTTAGAAAAAACAAACAAACAAAACAAAATGAACATCTGAATAATAACTGAAGTTAATCATGATAATTATAGCAATTAATAATGGAATTTACGAAACATGAAGCACTCTGAGATGCAGAAAACCCTAGTCAAAAGTCAAAATAAAATTGTAAATTTTGCTAAGATTCTGGATCTCAGATCTTTTATTCAGATTGTTGTTATCACTCCTGCTGATATGTACCATTTCTAAGAATGTTCTCTTAAATTTATTTTTCTCTCTGGCTAATATTTTAACATTGTTGAAATCTATCTTATGGTCTAGATCGATAGTGTGTTCTGCCAAAGCACAAGTGGGTTTATTTAGTCTACAGTCACTCTTATGAGAAATGATACGACTAGACAGATTTCTTCCAGTTTCACCAATGTACGTGGATGGACATTCAGTACATTGAATGCAATAAACAACATCTCTTGACTCTAAAGTAGTTAGGGGTTGTTTTATTTTGCTATATAGCTGACGTATGGTTTTGATGTTCTTGTTAGCTATTTTGATGTTCTTAAATTCTTTGAAAATTTTAGTAAGTTCTACGGTTAGTTTTGGAATATACGGAAGGGCATAAAAATACACACTTGTTTGAGAAGAATTGTTTTGTGCTGAGGGCACTGATTGAGAATTAGTGAGAATGTTATTTCTGTTAACAAATGGAACATTAAAAATTAATTTATTAATCAGTCTTAGAGGATATGAATTTTCAACAAAAATATTCCGTAAGAGGTTAAGATCATGTTGGAGATGATCTGGATGTGATAACCTTTTGACACGTTCTTTCATTGCTAGGACTAGGTTGGTTTTCATTCTAGGGGGATGATGGGAATGGTAGCTTATGAATCTATTGCTACATATAGGTTTTCTATACCATTGTGTTTTCACAACATTATCCTCACATCTATGCAAACGCATGTCAAGGAAGGGCAAAGATCCCTCCCGCTCTTCCTCGCACGTGAATTGCAAGTGTGGGTTTTGTTGGTTGAAAACATTTAAAGTAAATTGTATGGAGTCTGCTGGTAGTGCCAAGATTAAGTCATCCACGTATCTTTTTATAAAAGGTATTTCAAAATTGATTTGTTGCAAACAATCTTTAATCAAATCGTCTAAGACATAATTACAAAGAATTGGTGAAATGGTGGACCCCATTGGAGTACCAAAGACTTGTTTGTAGTAACAGTCATTAAAAATAAAAACATTAGAGTCAAAAACAAAAGAAATGAGTTTTTTGATATTAGATAAGTTAAGAGTTGTGTGCATTGATATGTCATCCCAGTGTTTCTCAACACTAACCAAAATTGTTTGTAAAGGTAAATTAGTAAACAAAGACACTACATCAAAACTAACGAGCTTATAATTGATAGGTAATTTTAAGTTATTAATAAAAGAACTGAAACTGAAAGAGTCCTGAATGCAGAAATCATTGTTACTGTAGGTTTCTGTGAGAATATTGGTTAAAAAACTTGCTATGGGGCCATTAGGTGTACCTATTGAGGAAACTATTGGTCTCATAGACAAAGTAGGTTTATGAATTTTTGGAAGTGCATAAAATCTAGGAGCAATTGAATTATAAATTTTCAAAGTTTTCCCAACTGATTGATCTATTTGATTCTCCTTTACCAAATAGATATCGATATAGATATAGAAAATATCAAATAGATCAATCAGTTGGGAAAACTTTGAAAATTTATAATTCAATTGCTCCTAGATTTTATGCACTTCCAAAAATTCATAAACCTACTTTGTCTATGAGACCAATAGTTTCCTCAATAGGTACACCTAATGGCCCCATAGCAAGTTTTTTAACCAATATTCTCACAGAAACCTACAGTAACAATGATTTCTGCATTCAGGACTCTTTCAGTTTCAGTTCTTTTATTAATAACTTAAAATTACCTATCAATTATAAGCTCGTTAGTTTTGATGTAGTGTCTTTGTTTACTAATTTACCTTTACAAACAATTTTGGTTAGTGTTGAGAAACACTGGGATGACATATCAATGCACACAACTCTTAACTTATCTAATATCAAAAAACTCATTTCTTTTGTTTTTGACTCTAATGTTTTTATTTTTAATGACTGTTACTACAAACAAGTCTTTGGTACTCCAATGGGGTCCACCATTTCACCAATTCTTTGTAATTATGTCTTAGACGATTTGATTAAAGATTGTTTGCAACAAATCAATTTTGAAATACCTTTTATAAAAAGATACGTGGATGACTTAATCTTGGCACTACCAGCAGACTCCATACAATTTACTTTAAATGTTTTCAACCAACAAAACCCACACTTGCAATTCACGTGCGAGGAAGAGCGGGAGGGATCTTTGCCCTTCCTTGACATGCGTTTGCATAGATGTGAGGATAATGTTGTGAAAACACAATGGTATAGAAAACCTATATGTAGCAATAGATTCATAAGCTACCATTCCCATCATCCTCCTAGAATGAAAACCAACCTAGTCCTAGCAATGAAAGAACGTGTCAAAAGGTTATCACATCCAGATCATCTCCAACATGATCTTAACCTCTTACGGAATATTTTTGTTGAAAATTCATATCCTCTAAGACTGATTAATAAATTAATTTTTAATGTTCCATTTGTTAACAGAAATAACATTCTCACTAATTCTCAATCAGTGCCCTCAGCACAAAACAATTCTTCTCAAACAAGTGTGTATTTTTATGCCCTTCCGTATATTCCAAAACTAACCGTAGAACTTACTAAAATTTTCAAAGAATTTAAGAACATCAAAATAGCTAACAAGAACATCAAAACCATACGTCAGCTATATAGCAAAATAAAACAACCCCTAACTACTTTAGAGTCAAGAGATGTTGTTTATTGCATTCAATGTACTGAATGTCCATCCACGTACATTGGTGAAACTGGAAGAAATCTGTCTAGTCGTATCATTTCTCATAAGAGTGACTGTAGACTAAATAAACCCACTTGTGCTTTGGCAGAACACACTATCGATCTAGACCATAAGATAGATTTCAACAATGTTAAAATATTAGCCAGAGAGAAAAATAAATTTAAGAGAACATTCTTAGAAATGGTACATATCAGCAGGAGTGATAACAACAATCTGAATAAAAGATCTGAGATCCAGAATCTTAGCAAAATTTACAATTTTATTTTGACTTTTGACTAGGGTTTTCTGCATCTCAGAGTGCTTCATGTTTCGTAAATTCCATTATTAATTGCTATAATTATCATGATTAACTTCAGTTATTATTCAGATGTTCATTTTGTTTTGTTTGTTTGTTTTTTCTAAACCTATTTACTAAATACTATTTTCTTTTTATTTTTTGACATAATAAAACCTTTTTTTAAATTTCCCTCTCAATTCTAAGTTGGTAACATGGTTGGTAGTACCTAAAATCACAAACGGCATTTTGTTAGACATCAGTTTGAAAGTTTGTTTTTTGTAGTTACATCGAACTATTTAAACAACAATAGTTCCTCCTACTACCTCTTTCTGTTCGTGAGATGTGACTGAATTCAAACCTGCGAAGACGACTGTTTTTTGTCAAACATGTCGTCTTATTTTTTACTTTTTAAACTTTGTAACATGTTCTTTAATTTTTAAGTATTTTAAAGTTTTTAAAATTTTTAATGCCTTCAATAATTCAGGTCACATTATGTTATTTAACGTTGTGTTTTATATGCTATGAATCTTACTTTCTGGTAAGTTTTTATAACTTTTATATTACATCAGCCTAATGTTATAACACAGTAATTTTCATTGTAGACCTTGATAAAGGTGGCAAATAACCACCGAAAGCTCGGAATTCAGAATAAATAGTACGCCTTAGCAAAGCTCTATTTTTTATTGACTACCACACCCAAAAAGAAAAAAGTATTTACATATTTTTTCCAAACTAGTCAAAAAACTTTGGACTAACTTATATATATATATATGTATATATTCTGTTGTTAACTCTTTGTATTGTAATAGGTATATTATAAGAATTTCTGGTTTTGCATATTATATGTTTGATACTTCTGGACTCTGGTGCATTGATGACATCAATACCACCGATTTATTCTTTTTGGGAACATAAGAGCAAAGTGTGACCTCTTCTGTATACGCAAAAATACATAAATAAATGTTTCGAGTTTTTAAAGTTTCATATTTAGTGGTGGAAACCGCTTGATTTTGTTTACTGTACCAACTAAAGTCATCTCCCAAGAATTCATTATGAGAAAATTGTAATGTAGTGAAAAAATTATCTGTAATTACGTATCTACCAATCCTTTGTATGATCAAACAAATTTGAAACAATGTTTTCCGCCGTTTACTTGCCGTTGTTCTCCAGAGATAAAGCAGATAAGGCAGGTAACTGACAGATTAACTGAAAGAATAGGCAGAAGACAGAGAATAATTAAAGATTATGTTTAAAAAAGTTCTAATTACATTCAATTAATTCAAGATCCATAGAAGTACATGAGCACAATATTTAATTTATCAATTATTCGTGAAATAAGAAGTAGAATCATGTTACCACTTACATTGTATCCTAATTTTTGTATGATTCTGGCAAATTTCTTTGATGCTAACAATCCATCATACTCATTTCTGGCCCCTGTACATACAATTTTTCCTGATCTGAAAATAAGGGCAGTAGTTCTTGGTTCTCTTAATCGCATAATAACTCCATGAAACCTCGAAGGATTAAATTCAGAATTTCTCGTTCTAGCATTGATTGTTTCCAAGTCAAGATTGACTTGAAGATCTACAGTAGATAGACAATTCCTGTAAAACAAATAAAGTTGGTAAGCAATTTTTTTATAATTTTTATCATTAGATGTTTGTATTTTTATACGTGATATACACACTTAACAGTAAAAGTTTTGCACCACCCAAAATTATGTTCATTTTCATAGTTGATTTTCTCGTGAACAGATTAATGGATTCCGCTATTTTTTATTATTTTAGATTTTTTCTTTGGTATTTACCCTGTTGGACAAAGGTTTACTAAAAACTTATCTTTTAAATTTATACCGGATGGAAGAAAGGAAATGTTTTTCTTATGTTAAGTTTGAGACACCCTATAGGGAAGACAAGATACAAGGTTGGTATACATTGAAATCATGGTACAATGAATACAAAGTATGATATTGTGCATGACATTTGGCAGCTGGCCCAGGAGTGTGACGTAGTCACGAACGCTCGAACCCATTATTATAGCTTAACATACACATTAATTTTAAAATTATGTTCAAAAAATGATTGATTTTTTTTTAAATGTTTTGTTTTGGTTATAATTGAATAAAATATATATTTTCAGTAGCGTAAAACCTTTACTATTACTGGGGGTCCAGGCGTAATATTTATTTTTGTTTTCCTACATATTATACTAATATACGCACTCTTTTTGTATAGGTAAATAGTAGTAGTATGTTTTACACTGAAATAAAAAACAAAATAGATTACAATAAAGAAAAATCTGATTTATAATTCAATATGGTATTTTAGATTTAATTATTTTTAAATTTAGTAAAATAAAAAATATACACATTACTATAACCCACTGATTATTATGTGTAAAATTTACTTACCAAACAATATAATAATATGAAAAGGCACAAATTAGATCAAACGCAAAACACAATAAATATCGACTTCAGACGACTTTACACTGGCAAGACAGATGAGGTATGACAGGCTTGTATGAAAACAAAAGTTCGACAATAATATCGGTTATCAATGGTGACGATTACAAATTGCAAGTTATGAGATAATAAATAAATTTTAATGTAACTCAATACTGACTGAGTCATCTATTTTATAATAGAAAAATAAAATTTAGATATATGCTGATATAAGTTGACTTTATCATTATTTATTTTGATTTTGTGTTTAGTTCAGTATATACGTACAAATTTTGTGTACCTTCATTACCACTTTTTTGTATCTTTTTAAACATCTGAAATATCAAACTCTGGAGTATAAGTTGATTAACCTGTACCTACGTGTAATAAAAGATAATTAAAACTTGTTTTATAAAGGATATCTATGTTAACAAAATAACTGTACCAAAAATCAATAAATTTAAATTAACTTCAAAATTTTATTTATGATTAAATATTATAATAACATAATTTTATCATCTCTTTATAATTACTATAATTAAATTAGCCAAATTATATAAAAAAAACTTAAAATTAAAAGTCTTTCCTATACAACTACATTCAAATGTTGCGTGAAGAAGCGGTCTTGACTACGTCATGCGCGACGCGAACCGATTTTGGAACATTATGTATCATACCTTGTGTTCATTATTCCATGCATTCATGTTGTGGTCTCATGTTTTGTGAACATTTTGTTTTTTTTTTTAATTTCCCAGATCTCTTTAAAAAGAAAGAAAATATACGGTTTTATTCTTTAACATTTTCCTCATCGCCTATTTCCAATGAAAAGTAAACTACAGTAGAGATCGATAAATCAGAATTGACCCGCGTCAAAAAACCGAATCTTTAGAAAAATCCAACTGATCCGGATCTCAAAATTAAATTTAACGAGTTATGGATTAGTAATAAGAGAACGACGTCGTAGTTACTAAGCGAAAGCGAGGTGTCAACCGAATCCGAAGTTCTTCAGGAATTTTGTTTGAGATTGAGATTTTGCGCATACAACAATTTCTTATGTTGTCAGACGCTTCAGATAAACTAATAATTAGTCCATACGACCACGAAAACAGATGGCGGAAGACATGAAAATGAAGTAGGAATTCTATTTAGTAAAGTCACAAAAAATTCTCTTGTGGAATGGAAACCAGTTTCAGAGCGAATAATCACTGCAAGAATTAGGACCAAATTAAGACTGGTAACACTGATTCAGTGCTATGAACCAACAGAACAAGCAACAGAACAAGAAAAAGAGGATTTCTACGAATGCCTTGAAGCAACATTAGAACAAATTAAAAGATCCGATATAAAAATAATGATGGGAGACTTCAATGCCAAGGTTGGCACTGACAACACCAACCTAGGACACGTTATCGGAAAGCATGGCACTGGCCAGAGAAACAACAACGGCGAACGCTTCATTGAATTATGTGGTAACCATGACCTAATCATTGGAGGGACTTTGTTCCCACACAAAACAATCCACAAGGTATCATGGAAATCGCCAGATAACCGCACCTACAATCAAATCGACCACGTTGCAATCAGTAAACAATGGAGAACATCTGTCTTAGATGTCATATCATGGAGAGGCGCAGATGCGGCCAGTGATCACTACCTGATGATGGTCGAAATTAGATTCAAAATAGCTAGGAATAGAAAAGAACTGAACAAACCTATTAGAAAAAAGTTTAACATTGAGAAACTACAAAATAACGAGACGAAAGTAGAATTCGCACGACAGCTGAGATCCAAAATCGACGAAAGACAGGACAAAAATTGGGAAACGATTAGCAAAGCCCTTGTGGAAACACGTGAAAACGTGCTGGGCCTAAAGAAAGACGTAAAGAAAGAGTGGATTACGAGAGAAACGTGGAACAAAATAGAACGTCGCAAACACATTAATCTAGAATTACTAAATTCCAAGACAGCAGCAGAGAAGAACCGACTTAGAGAAAGTTATAGAGAAGCGAATAAAGCTGTCAAGAAGGCAGCAAAGAAAGACAAAAGAAAGTGGGCAGAAAATCTTGCCGAAGAAGCGCGAGTCGCCGATGAACATCAAAATATGAGACAATTATATAATATCACTAAACAACTAGCCAATAAAAGATATACTACCCACCAACCAATTGTAAAAAGTGCTACAGGTGAAGATATTACAGCGCCACAGGAACAAGTCAAAAGATGGCATGAATATTTTAGCGAATCTCTAAGTGTAGTCCCAACACCACCAGAAGACACAGAAAACCTAATACCCAATATCCAACTCAGAATTAAGACCAACGAACCAACAACGCAAGAAATAGAAATGGCCATAGAAAAACTGAAAGCACACAAAGCAGCCGGCCCTGACAATATTCCACCAGAGTTGTTAAAAGCTTGCCCAGGTACAGTGGCAGAGCTAATCCTACCACTCTTGAAAAGGGCTTGGAGAGAGGAAAAGTTCCCCAAAGAATGGAAAACGGGATTAATAATAAAGATACCAAAAAAGGGTGACAGAAGATATTGCGAAAACTGGAGAGGAATCACACTTCTGAATACTATAAATAAATTAACAGCAATAATTATAAACAACCGACTAACAAACAGTGTAGAACCAATGTTGAGGAAGGAACAAGCCGGTTTCAGACCAAACAGATCATGCGTGGACCAAATTAACACACTAAGAATAATTGTAGAACAGTCACAGGAATTCAACTCTCCTCTCTTTGTGTGCTTTGTGGACTTCAAGAGAGCTTTTGACACGCTCACACATACGGCCATATGGAAAGCACTGCAGGAAATAGGAATACCAGAAAAAATAGTAAATCTCATCAAAGAACTCTACAGTGACACAGAAAGCAAAATCCTACACAACGGCATAACATCTGACCCAATAGCTATGCTAAACGGAGTAAAGCAGGGCTGTGTTTTATCCCCCATACTATTTAACATTGTACTGGACTCCGTACTAACAAAGGTAAACTCTAATAGAGGAATTTACTGGGGATTAACAAACAGACTGGAAGACCTAGATTACGCTGATGATATATGCCTCCTAGCACATACAAAACAGGACATGCAACTCCAAGTAAACAAAGTACAAGAAGAATCAAAGAAGGTTGGTCTAGAAATAAACATCAACAAAACCAAAGAAATGCGATTTGGTACCAGAAACAACCAACCTATTATGATCAACGACCAGAAAATTGAGAGAGTAGCGGAATTTGTATATCTGGGCAGCATAATTGACTGTAATGGGGGTACAGAGCGTGATGTACATGAAAGAATAAATAAGGCTCGCAACGCCTACAACATGCTTAACAACATATGGAAATCCAGGATTTACCCAACTAAAACGAAATTAAAAATCTTCAACACAAATGTAAAAGCTGTATTACTGTATGGCTGCGAAACGTGGAAGATATCAGCACCCATAGTACACCAATTACAAGTTTTCATCAATAGAGCGTTACGAAAAATCCTTCGTATATTTTGGCCTAACCGAATCTCCAATGAAAATTTATGGAACCAAAGCAACCAAGAAAATGTCATAAAGCAAATAAGGCGAAGAAAATGGAGATGGCTGGGCCACACACTCCGTAGACCGCCAAATGACATTGCCAGGACAGCGCTGGATTGGAATCCCCAAGGCCGACGGAAAGTAGGCAGACCTAAGGGAACTTGGAGAAGGACAGTACTGGACGAAGGGAGAAAAATGGGAAAATCCTGGCTTGAAATCAAAGCACTAGCCAGAAATAGAGTTCGCTGGAGACACTTTGTGGAAGCCCTATGTTCCTCTTAGGAATCTTGGGACTATATATATATATATATATATATATATATATATATATATATATATATATATATATACGACCACGAAAAGGTAGACCTCGAGTGGCTCCAGTTCGATATATTAGACTCTGGTCTTTAAAGGAACGTTTCACCACATTTAGGAGTATTGTAACGCAGCTCGCAGCAGTTCACCATGTTCAACCTAGTCTCGACACTGCCAGAAGACGTCATTCAGAAGGAAATTTTCATATCCGAGTCGCAGCTCGAGGATTTGCGTTGAATGGAGACCATCGTAGGAATAGACTATAATTCGCTAGGAACATGCGGGACTGGAAAAACGTTCTTTTTACGGACGTGTCAAGTTATTGCCTTTACCGTTCTAATCGACGCTTAAGAGTTATTCGTCAACCAGGTGAGCGGCATACAAAGTGCAACATGAGAGAGACTAGATTATTTAGTGGAAGCTCTTTGATGTTTTGGAGTGGAATTTAACTGAGGTAAATATTCAGACATTGAATTAGCCTTCTCACATTCCCCATATGACTACTATTGAAGACTTATGGAATACTTTTGGTAAACAATTAAGACTTCGCCAGCCCCTTTCTGCATCTCTACAAGATATAGAAACTATGGTTATTGATTTCATCCAATTCTAATTTTTATTCCAATACTATGTGAGTTTTGAAACTAATTTTTATTAAGGACGCAGTATAATTCTACCAAAACTATAAGTTGACATTGAGAAATCTTCGAATAAAATGAATTTTGGAAATAGACGACTTATTTATGGAACTGCACAAGGCTACTCACTATTATACATCTATGAAGTTATCAGTTTAGCTTTTTTGTTCTATTTTTGTATTGTACCTTTGTTTAAATTGAATTTCAAATTATTAATTAGCTTAATCTTAAATCTCATAGAGTTCATATATTCTCATAGAGAAATTATATATATATATATATATATATATATATATATATATATATATATATATACACACAATTCTTTGGAGGGTAACTTTCGGGAAAGCGTCAAAACAAGGATTAGCTGGAGATAGTATAAGCCAGTTTGGTATAACCCTATTTTAGTACAAGTGGTGGAAATCAACATTTAAAAACCTACATTGAAAATGTTCAGTTGGTCCTAGTGGTGAAGAACACTGTCACAAACATGTTAAAAATATTAAAAAATACATTTAAAACTTTGAATAAAAACATTACAACACAACAGGGTATTTTTTCAAATACAAACACAACAAAAAAATCTAAAATTTAAAACCTACAAAAACTGCAACTTCATGTTAAAGGTAGAAAAGAAGAATTATTCTTCTTTTTTGATGACATATTTCTGATTTCTGTCAATATCCGCTTGTCATATGTAACGAGGTTATAATTTTCATGTTTGCATCTCATGGATATGGAAAGAAAGAACCCAAGGAAACATACTCAGCAGGGAATTGAAGTCTTTTCTCAAGTACAGGTAGGTAATCTATGCATGTTATGATAAGTTCGCTACATTCTCCAGTTTGTTACATCTTGTTAAGTCCTGTTGAAGTAGAAAGGAATAAATACAACTTAAGTTTTCAACATCTTTCTTACAGTTTATAGAAGAGCTGCAGTTATGGATGTAGCACATTTCTATGAAGTTTCTCTTAAATTGGTTGTCAACCCTCTTTAGTACTTGCACATTTTCATAGTTAGCAATGTGTCCAGTATTCTTAATATGTTACTTTCTATTTAAAGTTCTATAGGTTTAATACATTACTTTCTATTAATAAAATCTAAAGAACACCTAATTAATTTTTAATCATACTATTTTTGTTTTTTTTTCTTTCTATTCTCTATGGATCAGTTAAAACACACCATTAAAAGATGTCACAAACGAATTTTTACTATCTTTAACTAAATTTTAAAATGTATTTTGTCCATTATTTTATATGTTATATTTTATATGTGTGTTATTAATGTTGAGTGTCATAGCTTTATATAAATAATTTCAACGACTAGTAAGTTGCACTGACAATTTGTGATATATTGTAAATATTTACACATTCTTCTAATTACAGTGTCTTGAAAAAGGAATTAAACAATGCCGAAAGCTAGACCAAAAGTCAAAATAGTGTTTTGTAACATCCCGGCCAAACTTCTGACTGCAGCCCGCCCTAATAAACTTTGTTGTTCTGTTTATATTGACAGTCACTAATATCCAGTATTTCGTGGGCTGTGTGTTTTCAACCTTGCTAGTACATATATCTACTTATGTTTTTATTATTGCTTTGTTATTACTGTTAAGTTCTTTTTAGTAGCTGTAAAAATTTTATTGATATTTTCTTACACCATAGAATGAAATTTTGATTATAAAAGTGGTTTGTTGAAATGTATTATTGAATAAAATAAATGAAATATCAAAATCATAATTACTCTATTTTATAATATACTTTTTAACTAAATTTTTAAATGGTAATACTTACTGTAACATTATGTTTGTATGTGGTTCACCTACTGCTGAACCAGGCATTGCTACTGTCATAAGGGATAAATTTGGTTTTATAATAGGAACCTAAAAATATATATATATATATATATAGTAATAATTACATATTAATGAGAATATAGAAAAAAATAAGGAACGCCTTGGAATAAGCTTCCCTTCTTTAGCATTATTAGTCACTCCCACAAAAGGAATTCATTAGTAAATAAGTATTACATAATCTAACTTATGCAATTGATTGTCTAATTTCCATTTGTAAGAAAATAAAATAGTCTAAATCACATTTACACCAATTTGGGTACTTTTGTAATATAGGAGAGGTTATATAGAAGAGTTTTTTATCAGAGCAAGGCAATATAATTCACTAATATTCAGCACTATTTAAGAGAATGAATTTAATTGAATTAATTCTAATACAGTGATTTTTAAACCAACAAAACAGTTGTGAAATGTATATATAGGAGCTACAAGAACAGAATTACTAGAAGAAGTAACATACTTGTTTATATTAATAACGAATACTCATAATTGCGCACACTTCACTGTCATTTTTTTAGTCACGGCTTAAGTGGAATCAAGTTGAACAAGATTTTAGTCCCTCACTATACCACTAGGAAGCGCTTATGTAGGCGCTATTACTGTTTGTAAAATATGAAAGAGTGGAACAGCAAATGCAACTTTAGGTATTTTCTTGTGGAGATACCACATGGCCGTGTGCATATAATGCTTAGCATTAAATTTTAGCATTTTATAAAATTGGAGATCAAATCAATATTGTGATTCAAATTTTGAATTTAAATGTGTACAAATCAACAAAGAATATAATTAAAACACTCTTATAATATATAAAAAAAATTAAGCAAAAGTCAATCAATAGGAGGCAAAGTCCAAAGAAATTCTAAGGTGATTCGATCAAAAAACAATTCCTGATCTCGTTGGTACGTTATAATTGCTTTTTAGCATATACACCAAAGAATTCTTTTTGACACTTTGAAAATTCGAAATTATAAAGTATAATTTCAGATTTTAAAAATTAATTAGAAGTCTGAAAAAACCCGCTTTGGAGCTCAACAAAGGAAGATGAGTAAAGAGGCAAAAATGCCTGCTGGGACATGGACCACAGCAAATCCCAAGAGATCCAAATCGACAACACTCGAAGTTTAAAAAATCGACAACATTCGAAGATAAAAAGAGACTTCGGGAGAATACCATCTCCCCTCGCAACAGAGTTGCGAAAAAACCAAGGAGCTCTAACGAGCAGACTATGTCATAAAGTAATGTGAGAAAAGAATTCAGAATGTCAGTAGAACACAGATACCATCCTGATACTCAACTAGATCGGGCTCAAGCAGATCTGATCAATAAAAAAACTAAAACAAGCAGTTGTCGGGTTCAAGCAGATCTGATTATTAAGAAACTAGAACAAGCAGTTAATGAGGCTTCTATGGGAGGTCAAAATAAACTTCTGCTGTTCCATAAACATAATTTAGCGAAGGCAACCTGTGGGTGAACCATATACGAGTATAAAAAATGAACTACTGAAGTGATGAGAAGTATGAAGAGCCTGTGGGAGGAAGCAAACTTAAATATAGTTGATCGCAATAATATGCTCAAGCGCGGTCTTCACCCGCGTCCGCGAGAAAGAGGCTGATGAAGAAACTATCAGGACCCGTTTAAAGAGGCAAAATCAAGACCTTAAGATAGAAGACGGGTTGTTGAAATATCGAAAGATCGAGGAGTACCTACAAATCCTAATCTATACAATTGACAATGTCTCATATAAAGCATTGAAGACTGCTTATTTAATGGCATGTTATAAACTTGGGAAAGTGTGTTTAAGACAATCAGCGACCTCTATGGCTCCAAACAGAATCCTACAAGTAAATCTCCCGCACAGTAAGGCAGCTTCGGAAGAACTTACTATTGCCATGAGAAGGTTCAATGTAGCCGTGATACAAGATCTCTGGGTTTTCAAGGGCAAAATAAGAGGCCTATCCGGAAAGGAGCCGACTTAACAATGGTCACAACTCACGTGGAAAGAAATGTTAAAAAATGGTATGTCTTAGATGAGGTATCGACACATGTTTTATGGGTTTACTTACATCGACCTGGAATATTGTTTAGGTAGCATTAAAGGGATGGTACGGCATACATTGGACCTAGACACGAACAATTTTAAGAAGTTGTCATGCCAGTGTTTGAAGGTAACTGTCCGGAGAGAGTAAAGAATTTCAACAGGAATGTACCCTGGTAGAATAACACTCTTGCAAATCAAAGCACAGAAGTGCGACGAAAATTTAATTTCTCCAAAAGATCAGGTGACTGGGATCTGTTTTTAATCCAAAGTTATAACATTTTATTTACATGTAATAAAAAAATACTTTTAATATTTAAATTTTTATACCAGTTTTAAAATTAAAAATTTAACAATTTAATATTTTAAAAATAAAGATTTTATTGTGAAAAAACAACAAAAAAACTCGAAATTTTATTAAGTGTAGATGTATAAGCTAAATAGCTCCATTAATAGTCCTTTCCCACTTCCCCCAACTCTATCTTTCATGATATACTTTTAAGCAGGCGGCGACGACCACGGTTTCAGTTTATGCAGTCGCCCCCTACAGAAGTGTTTTGAAGTATAATAAGTATAATATAATAAAATAACAAAATCGCACATTTGAAATGTCCTTCTAAACGCATCTATATTCGTTGATATTAATGTAGAATTAGTACACAAATGTTTCATGTTTAGCCATAAAAATGATAAATCTGTAAAAGTGTCAACATTAAGTAAATTTTTAATTCCTACCTTTTGAATTTGGATGTGGATACAAAGTGAGAAGATATAATTTCAGCATTAGATACAAACTAGACTGATAATCTTAGTGTGCACAACTTACTTCAAAGTAGAACAATAACATTGTCTTAATAATTGATGCAGCAATACCTCTGATGGTATATGATAGATAGATTTAGATAACATTCTCTTGATAACATGACCCTTTTTAAAAAGTCTATAGCTGCGAGACTGTACCTTCCATGTAGTTATTTGCCGGTGGATTTTCTTCTCCTAATGCAAAGAACCGCACATTTACATTTACGCACTGTTACACTGACATAGAATATGCTCTGCTGTTTCTTCTTCGAGTTGACTGATCTGCACAGGTCATCATCTGATAATTCCATCAGCTTTAAGTGACTATTCAGCTTATAGTGCCCTGTTAGAAGACCTACTATGGCTTTGACTGTTTTTCGGTCTTTGCTTATTAGGTGTGCCGTAAATTTTGGCAAATGTTCTGTAATTAATTGTTTTGCCTGTCTTTGTCTTGGTAAGTTCCTCCACCATTCCAGAGATTTGTGAGCTACCCTCTTCCTTGTAACCATTCTTGTTACTGTCTTACAGCGTGCAACACCGTAGAAGGGTTACGGTTCAATGAACGGCATTGTTAAGCCTTGTTTGGTCATTTCATCTGCTTTTTCATTGCCCTTATGACCCTCGTGCCCCGGTATCCAGGCTTACCGTAACCTTGGTACGGTCTCCTAGTTTATTTAGGGCACACACAATCCCATACTAGCTTAGAATTGACCTCCACAGAATTGATTACCTTAAGCGCTGCCTGACTATCTGTGAAGATGCCAATTGAATGGAACGTTCTTTCCTGCCTTTCTATTTCTTCCATGCGGTAATGGATTGCCGTTATTTCCGCCTGGAAAACTGTCACATCCTTAGATAGAGTTACCAGGAAATGTATCCCTTGATTTGTCCCTACTATGTCGGCTCCCACACCTTCCGATGTTTTTGAGCCATCCATGTACCAGGTAGCAACAACTTGTATGGGTACAGCTTCATTCCAGTCTTCCCTGCCTGGTATCTTAATTGTGAACTTATTGTTAAAGCTATATCTCGTAGCTGTTGCATCGATAGGTTGCCCCATCACAATATCTGCTCCTCGATTAGCTTTCTGTTGTCAGCACCACTCACCTGGCTTATTATATGTCGCTGACTATGGATTAATCTGTGCATCACTGAGCTGTCTTCGCCCTCTATAAAGATATGACGTGGTGGTAGATTCAACAGGACTTCCAACGTTGCTGTAGTTGTTTTATGGCCCCCGTAATACACAGGCATGCTAGCCTTTGTGTATTACCTAGCAGCCTTATTGCTCCTACTTGCTGCGTCTTTGTCCACCACGTCACCGAGCCATAGGTTATTATTGGTTTAATAACCCTTGTGTATAACCACTGATGGTATATGATTAAACCATCATTTTTAATTGTGCTTTGAATGTATTCTGGAGGTTTTATGAGTGTAATTTTTTAATTATGGTCTGTGTAATTTTAATATAACAGATAATTGTGACTGGAATCATTAATAGTCAATACTGAAATGTTAATGACATAATTGTAAATACTGTCATAAATTATGTTGTTTTATTAGTCCGTATTCATATTGTGACTGGCCACCAAGCTATAAATTTTACACTGAGTATATAAAATTTGCAAAAAGCTGAGATCTGGCTTAGTTTTGTTTTGTTTTAAGCAACTGAAGTACCCAATTTATGATTTTTGTGTCCGTTTTATCAAAAATTTGCCACCAAGAGAGGATGTTGGTAAAATCTAAAGCAATATTTTTAAATATAGCTCAGCAATTCATAATTTACAAAATATGTAAATTGGTGACTTTAGAATGTTAGAATGTGATACAGTTAAAAATTAAGTTTGGTGTAAAATATTTTTTCAATCTGTTTAAAAATATTTATTTATCTTGTAGGGGATAAAAAACATGCCTAGTTGTACTCTTAATATTTATAAGTACATGTTTTATATTTTGAATATAGACAATGAAGATTATTTTATTTATAACTTCATATATATATATATATATATATATATATATATATATATATACACTTCATCTAATTTATATAACGATGCACGTCATCGGCGTCATAGCCTGTGACGTCATATGATACCAACACGAAATATTTAGGGTTTAGGTGTGTTCTTTTTAGAATCACTTTACCGAGTACACTGGCATTACAGCCACTAGACATATTTTATTATATACG